TAGGTAGGGTAGCCATGGGAGTGAAGTGCATGCTGGGAGGGGTGAGGTAGGTTAACTCAGCGTTCAAAAAGTTAGGAAAAACAGACTTGTAATACAATCTAGGTAACCTGAAAAACAACTTAAATGGATCTAAGAATATAAAGGTAACATCAACAGGCTACTTATAAAAGAAAAATTGAGGAAACTGTTAAAAGAATGACACCCTCCCAAGAAAGAGGAAGTTTCACAGGTAAATTTTACGTTTTCAAAGAACAGACCATTCACTACTATTTAACAATGCCACAGCACAAAGAAGGAAGCTTCCAAATGCTTCTTACAAAGCTAGCATGACATGGTACCGACAAAGACTGCAGGTACTAAAAGAAAATTACAGTGTCTTCCCAATATGATAGCACAAAGAGAACACAGGAGCACATGGAAAGATGATGAAAAAGATGAATATACATTACCGGGGAGTTTACAAAGTGATACAGGATGGGTCAATAACAGGATAGATATTATTATAATTCATTGTATTAATAAAGGGAGAAAAATCCACAGTTATCTGCTTATATGCCAAAAAGGGAACTTAACTTTTCAGCCATTCTTCATTTAAACAAATAAACTTCAGGGCCAGGGATACAGCTCAGTGGCATATCACCTGCCTGGCAAGTGCAAGGTCCTGAGTTCAATTCCTGGTACCAAGAAACAAATAAACTTCAGGAATAGGTGGATGCATCCTTTACACGGCAAAAACCCTATACATATTACAGTAATATGTGTATGCGTACAGTGAGAAAGAACACAAATGTGTTTAAGTGAATGTTTCTACAAATTAATTGGGTAAAGATTACCCTCTATTAAAGAGACGGCAAAGAAAATGAACAGATGTTTCATATAACTGACATAAACATAGGAACTGTTCAGATTCACCAGTTAAAAAGTACAGGGGCCACAGATGTAGCTCAGTGGCACAGCACCTGCCTGGCAATCTCAAGGTCCTGAGTTCAAGTCCCAGTACCCCCACTAAAAAGGAAGTACAAATTAAAAGCAACAATGAAAAATAATCTTATCCTTTGGATTCCTAAAGATCAAAAGATGTAGCAATACATTATGAAGGCAAGAATGTGGGGAAATAAGTGGTCTCAAATACTAGTCAAAAAGTAAATTGGCACAGTATCTTTCAAGAAATAAGGCAATTATCTGATAAAATTTAAAATTCATAGGTTCTATTATGCTTGTTATTTCTTTTTTTTCTTCTTAATTCTTGGAATTCCCAAATTTAACATTTTTTTTCTCTGTCCAAATGCTGTATCTTTGTTTTTATTTCAACCATTCCATTCAAATAGCATTTTAATTCTATCTTTTCTAGCCAACAGATTTTGGAGTTTACTGATATCCAGGATGTTTTGATTATCCCAAACTTAAACTCTATCCTTATTTAACAATAACTTTCCATTGCCCACTCCCCTAGGCTCTGGTAACCACTCTCTTTTTGTCTGAATTTCAGTAGCTTAAGTACCTTATGTAAGTAGAAGAAATCATGTAATACTTGACTATTTGCATCCAAGATTCTTTCACTCAGCATAATGTTTTGAGGTCTCATCTGTATTGTAGTTTAGTTCTTTTCAAAGAAGTACTAACATTTCCTTGAGAGCAGACACTACATTCTGTTTATCAACTCATTTGTTCAGACATTCTGGTTATTTCTAACTTTTGGCTGTTGTGAATCGTGCGGCTGTGAACACTGCTGTATAAGATCTAGTGGCAATCCTTGCTTTCAATTCTTTTGTTATACTTAGGTAGAGAACTGCTGGATTATAGAGTAATTCTATGTTCAGTTTTCATAGGAACCACCACAGTCTTTTACAAATGAGCTACACTATTGTCCATCCTATCAGCAATGTGCATGTGTTTCAATTTCTTCATAGTCCTGCCCATATTTGTTATCTGCTATGTGTTTAACAGCCATCCTAGTGGGTCTGAAGTAGTATCTCCCTGTGGTTTCAATTTGCATTTCTCTACTAACTGGTGATGTTGAATATCTTTCCAAGTGTTGACTGATCAAGTCCTGATTTTAAATTGAGTTTTTTTAAGTTTTAGAAGCCTTTACATATATTGTGGGTATTAATTCCTTGGGTATATGGGTATATGATTTATAAATATTTTCTCCATTGTGCAGACCAACTTTTCACTCTGCTCATCGTGCCTCATATAGTATTTTGAAAAAGTGTATCAACCATGCCTCAAATTCATACAGAAATAAAATAAAAATGGATCAAAGAGCTAAATGTTAAAACAGAAACAACTTGCTGGAATATAAAATAGTTAAAACTCTTGAAACTATAGGCATAAACAAGGACTTCCTGAACAGAACCCTGGTTGCACAGCAAATAGTACCAGGAATCAACAAAATGAGATATAAAATTTAAAAGATTCAGGGCTGGGGATTTAGCTCAGCGGCACAGCGCCTGCCTGGTAAGTACGAGGTCGTGAGTTCAATTCCTGGTACTGGAAAGAAACAAAAACAAACAAACAAAAAACCGCACAAATTTAAAAGCTTCTACAGAGCAAAAGAAATAGCCAACAGAATAAAAAGAGGGAAGGAAAAAAAAATTAAGATGTGTTATGCATATGCACCAACTCCACATGAAGAATGTAAATATTATGCATTGCAAATATGTTCTAATTAAAGAAAAAAGAAGATAAAGGCCACATGAACTTAGAATCCCAGGTCAGACTATGGATAATTTTTTATTTTTAAACAACTTTTAAAAAACAAAACAAGCCAGGTGTAGTGGCACACGCCTGTAATCTCAGCACTCCAGAGCTCAGACAGGAGGATCATTGCAAATTCGAGACCATCCTGGGCTACAAAGTGAGCTCACGGCCAGCCTGAACTGCACAGCAAGACCCTGTCTCAAAAAGACAAACAAACAAAACTAGCATATGTGCTGGAGACCTATATGGCCTGCACACCTAGTATTTACTGTTTGACCCTTTGTTTCAATGTGAACTTACAATTAAAGAAAAAAGTTGAGTTTTCTCTATGAAAGGCTTTAAAGTACAGTGTTGTTTTTCAAAATGGAAGGACAAATACTCATGTTTTATTTAAACAATTTAAGCAGGGTACTAAGGTTCATATTCTGAGCTAAAAAGATTCTACAAAGTTGTGAGTTACAGCTTAGGAAAGTATCAAATTCTATTACTCAAGTTCTAAGTAGTATGCTGGGGCTAAAAAATTTTTAACATTTGTATCACGCTGAAAAATTACCAGTGCTATGGCTGGTATGTGCCCCCACATTTTGTGTTGGGAACTTAACCGTCTGGGTCATGTTAATGGTATGGAGAAGTGAGACCTTCTGAAGGTGACTGGGTCATGGTTGTTCTGCCCTCAGGGATTAACGGGTTGCCAAGGGCGTGGGTTTTTAATAAAAGCGAGCTCTCTCTTATAAAGTGTTACCACATGACTCCCTCCACCATGTCCTGACTGCAGGAAAGGTCCTCAATAGAAATGCTCCGTAGAGGTTGGCAACATGCGGTTTGACTTCTCAGCTACCAGTAGTGTGAGCTAAATAAATGTCTATTCTTCATAAATTATCTTTGTCACAGAAACGGAAGAGAGACTGATACCTAGGAACCCTGGTTACCTACAAAAGTCTTCCAGCTAAAATTAAACTCATCACTCTTTGCTCTGAAAGACTCTCATTTGAAATATGTCATATATTTTCCTATTTTCTTTATATAAAATGTTCACATTTTTAGTGATAGTGCTGGAAACTGAACTCAGAACACCATAAAAATGCTCTACCACTAAGTTATACCCTTAGCCCCTACTCTTATCCTTTCAAAAGATTAATAAAAAATTAAGGTCTAAGACTTCAAATCCAAAGGATCCACCAAGGAAAATTTCTGTAATCTGTTAAATTGATAAAGTTAATCAAGATTAAGCCAGATGATACAAGAACCAGGAACCATTTCTTTCTAGCATACATTTTTACCATTTAGCAAACTCTTTTCTATTTTAAGAGCACCTTAATTAGAGGAATACAAATGTAATAAATGTGGTAGGGATCCCTACTGTATTGTTTCTTCCCCTTAACTTCCCAAAACAAGTCTGTAAACAACATAGCTGGGAGTTATGGCACTTGCCTATTATCCCTAGTACTCAGAAGGAGGCTGAAGCATGAAGATCTATCAAAAATAAATCAATAAATAATTTCTTTAAACACATGTCTTTCACTTACAAAACTGAGACTTTCTTGTGGACACAGATCATAGCTTTTTCATATTATTTTTAACTAAAAGCAGAATGTCAACCCATAGCTATGAAAAATATCTGCTAACTGAAAGTAATTAAGACAAAAACCCAAAAGTAAATAATTTATGTAACAACTGCTAAATACTAGCTACAATCATAAAACATTAAAGACCATCAGAAAACAAAACTTTAGTAAATGCTTCCTAACTTGCTCCTAACACGCAGAGATAGAACAGATGGGGGCTGGGGATTTAGCTCAGCGGCACAGCGCCTGCCTAGCAAGCACAAAGTCATGAGTTCCATTCCCGGTACCGTAGAAAAAAAAGGAAAAGAGATAAAACAGACAAATGATGCTGGTGTCCAAGTTAATTTTAACATTTTAGAATGGGCATGGAAGCTTTACTTACCCATGGTAACACATCTAACCAAAATAATGAATTTGTTCTTTCTTTGCCCAAAACAGTACCACCTCAATAGAGCAAGAGTTTATGTTATGTAATAAGATCCTCTAATAGCAGCTAGATTTTCTTTTAATTAAATGTCCCCACAACAAATGCTTTAGACAAGAGCAAAATCAAACCAGAATAATGACAAGAACACCTGTAAGCTCAAGTGAAATAAATCAAAGGCAGCTTTCCTCAGCCAACCTCTGCTTCTTCCTATTCCTGACAATCGTGGACTGACGTCTAGACAAACATGCTAGTTACTGTAATTTAATAGACAATTATATGAGCACAGGAATCTAAAGTAGAAAAATTACCTCTTAAACTTCACCATCCTCTTCACTGGTATTTTCTGTCTGCTTTTTTCTGTCTGCTTTCTCTGAAACAGCATACCTAAATCATAACAGAGTAAATTGCAAACATGTTACTCATCCTGGTTATATAAATTAAAATAGTGCACTATGATCAAGAAATGTTTCTTGGCATAAAATAAAACTTGGGAATTTAATAAGTTTGTCTCACAAACGAATGACTAAAGAAATGATTTTCCCCAGTTACATTAAAATACTAGAAATGTGTTGTAAAAAGATATTGGCTCTAAGCAAAATTACATTACCTCCTGCCAAAATGTCCTATGCTACTGAAAAACAACGTGTCAGATTGCAAAGGAAAAACAATCCTAATAACCTATGGGCATTGTACTTCAGTAAAATAGTTAAAAATAAGTATCTCTCCTCTATGAGGCTTCAAATATTTATTATATTGCTCAAATCATTCTCGTACACCTGGCTGCAAGATACCCAGGAGGCTGTCTAAAATGGTATCTGAAGTGAGTGGGCCTCTACAGATCTACTTAGGAATAGTTAACTACTAGCTAACCATGGCTCCAGAACCAAGAGGAACATGACAGACTTCTTTTTTAATGTTTCTTGCTCACAAGGCTCTGACAATGCAGTTACAGTTATTTAACAACCATGTAACTTGTTCAATAATCTACCCAGCAACTACTATGTACAAGGTGCTACTATCAGAAATGAGAATATAAAAGTAGTCAAAAACCATGCTCATGGAGCTTATGATCTAGTGAGAATCCGGGAGGGAGGACAGTCAATGATAAAATTAAAGTTATATTTTATGAGGCAAAAAGGATCATGTTATAGTTTGTCCCTGAGGAGTCTCTGGCACCTCCAGGGTCAGTTTGTTTACTGATGGTTTCAACTTGCATGACTATGATTATGCAGCCACAGGGCATAAAAGGACTCCCTGGGAATTTCTGTACAGATTCTGGTTTTCAACACCTGAACCACTGTTTGCAAATACAGACTTAGGAAGCTATGCCTAGGTGTCCCTCAGATCCCAATGCCTGCCTGTAGTCTTCTTTTGTACTCTTTTAGCCTCTGCCTTAAAATAAAATCCTTGAGTGACTATTCCCAGGAATCTTGTGAGACCTTTCAAATATCTGCAGCTGGCACTCTTTGCAAAACATAAGTGCTCAGAGAAAAGTAAAGTGGAAAAAGGGATGAGAAGTGTTAAAGAGAAGTTACAGCTTAATAGGATGACCACAACAGCTTCACTGACTCATATATAAGTGAAGACTTTAAGTGGTGGGACATGAAGCATGCCAGTACACAGGAAAAATCATTGCATACAGGAAAAAATATGCACAAAGGCACTGGGGAAAAGCATGTCTCGTATGTTTAAGAAAACACCAAGGTCACTGGGGCTGGAGCAGACATGAAGGTAAAGAAACAACAGAAAGCTGGAAAGAATAAAGCCTTGCAAACAATGATAAGGAGTTTTTAAAGGCAAGAGTGACTAGATCTGAAATGTTAGGATTACTGGACAGCTGAACTGAAGACTGAAATGAAGAGGGGATGGGTAGAAGGGAAAAGGGAAGAGCAGGGAGATCCATTTGGAGGCTACTGGAAAAACCCAGATGAACAATAACAACACCTTAGAGCAGTGATGAAGGTGGTTAAGAGGCAGCGAGATATGGCACACACTAACAGAGGAGCCCAGATTTTTTAGACAGTCAGGACCAGGACCACAGAATAACGGCGGTCAATGAGGAATTCAAGGTTCTGGCCAGAGCAATGAAAGAATGTTACTTCTATAAAGAGCAGGCCCGAAAGCAGGGTGTGAGGATCAGTCAGGCAACCTGGAACTGTTTGAAGTCTGAGATGTCTAATTAAATATGTCTAGCAGGTTGTTAGCAAGGGAAGCCTGCAGCTGATGAAGAGGTCTGCCACACAGAGGACACTGGATGAGATTACAAGGAGGGTTGTCTCGATGAAGGAGGTGTCCAAAAACAGAGTTCCAGGACTCCAGTTTAAGAGGCTGGAGAGATGAAGAACAGAGTGAGACTATGCAGCCAATAAGGCAGGAAAGAGCCTAAGAGTGGAGTCCGAGCAGTCAAAGAAAAGAGTGTCTTGAGACTGACTGACAGTGGGCAGCAGTAGCAGTGACTGGTTACCTTGATGAGAGCAGCTTCACCGGGACAAGGTCAAAAGCCTGAATGGACAGGCATCAGAGAAAAAAGGGAGACAAACTAGGGCAGCAAACAGCAGAAACACTGGAGCAATTCTGCTATATACAAAGGATAAAGGAACAGCAGTCGCTACAGGGACTGAAATGTAGAGTTGTATTTGCTTTTTAAATGGAACTACCAGTATGTTTGTTATGATTAAGGAGGCGACACACACAGAAATAATCTTTTAAAAGATGATATAGCACGTAACAGTGCTCCAAGTGGTATGAAGTAAGCCAAAAGTCCTGCCACTTATGCACGAGAAATGAGTCACGGTAAATACTGAAAAGTCACAGTGTGTCAGGCAGTATCCTACGGACTTTCAAGGTACTAATTCTTTTAACCCTTTCAACTCCACTGGAGGATGTTCCATTATTATCTCCATTTACAGATGAGAAAACTGAGGCACAGGGGGGTGTGAGAAGTCACTAATAAATACATAACCAACGAAGACTTCAATTTTGAATGCAGGTGGTCTGGTCCAGAGCTTTCTGCCAGCATGCTGCCTACACATATGTACATGCACACACACACACATACACACACACACTTTGCAGCTCCGAGGTCAGTGTCACTATAGGTAGGGGTAGTCAGGTTTTATTTCTGGTACTTAATTGAGAAATGCACTGTGCTAAAAATGAACCTCAGATCTCCAGAGTCACAGAGCAAGTGGTTTTGGAGTGTGGATCACCAGTTTTGACTTTAAAGGTACTTAGCATAATGTAACACCAGTTACATTACACCATAAAGCTTTAAAGGAACCATGTTAAGTAAGGGCACTACAATGAAAGCCAAGGGAATGCATTTTTAAAGTAGTATTGTTTTGTACTTCTGTTTGGAAAATATAGAAAGTGATCCCCTGTACTCCAAACACCTAAACACAACTGTTGATAGTATATTTGTACACTAACATTACTTATGTGCACACATTCATGTATACAGACAAGTAAGTGGTATTACACTATGTATAGCTCTATGCCTTTAGAATTGTTTTCCCACTTCAAGTTAAACTAGAAATATTTTTTCATGTTCTTCAAAAATGTAATTTTAATGTCTATAAAGAATTCTATATAGTAGATGCATCAACATTTAATGTTAACAAAATACTTCCAGTTATTCCCCACTGTGGGTAACATATGAGCAGCCAACCATGGACTAAGCCCTCTCAAACTGTGATCCACTTTAAACCTTTCTGCCTTTAGGTTGTACATGTTGGGTACTATGCTTAATAACTATATGTAAGACTCTGCTTAGCTACTTTGTAGATATGTTCTAATTTTAGCCTCATTTTTATAGATGGGGAAACTGAACAAATCACAGAGGTTAAATAACGATGTGGGGCTGCTCAGGGGAGTTTAAAGGTATTCTCAAGAACAGACTGGCCAAAACAGACCTACACACCCAAATCAGTCACTCACCTCTTCATCGATTTTATCTTCTAGGGCATTGATATGACATTCATTAAGAAATCTCTGTATTTTTTCCAACTGGTATTTCACTAACTCCTCAATGGCATCTTTCTCTGCCTTGTCTACAAATTCTTGTACTGCCTCACCCATCCATCTTTCTGTTAGCAGTGAGAGCTGAACATTCTGTAAAAGAGATGCAAACCATTAGAGGCAGAAGTAGTATCTACTCCTTATAAAATAACTGAAGAACAAGGCAAATACAGGATAAAGTTATAAAATGATAAGTTAACCAGTTATGTAAGGGGGGGGGAATTGCTAGACAGTAGTTAAGCTTACTGATAAAAATTAAGGATCAGGAAAAGCAAAGTTAAATCAGGAAAAGGGAGGGGAGTCAAGAACAGGTGATGCGAGACCTGAACGGCTGGGACATACACTCTACAAGAGGCTGCCACTGATTTAGGGTTCAGGTTAAACCATTACACTCGTAGGCAAGATAATTTCCCCTTAAAGACATCCAAGTCTTAATCTCTGGGACTTGTGAATATGTCACATAATGAAGGGGAACCACAGTTACAGATAGGATCAAGGCTTCTCATCAGCTGACTGTAAAATAGAGAGATTAACAGGGACACTTCAGGTGAATCCAGCAAAGGAAAAGGGTGAGGCAGGAGGAGAGAGCCAGAGGGAGGTATGTGTGGGAAAATGGTCCAAGATACAAAACTGCTGGCTCCGAAGATGGACAAAGGGGACCAAAAGGTGAAGAAATGGATTCTCCCTTAGAGTTTCCAGGAAAGAACACAGCTGTGCTGATACCTCAATTTCTGTCCAGAGAGACCTGGGCCAGATCTAACCTAGAGAACTGCAAGATATTTGTGATCTTTACATAAGTACAACCAGAGAAATTTAGAGTGACATATACCTTTGATAGTTTGAATAGCTTCAGAATATGTAGTTGTATTTGTAAAGTACAAATACTTTACGAAGTATACATACTTCAATATAAAGTACAAATACTTCCAAGTACAAATACATTACTACATAATGTAATTCTGAAACTACATTAAGACAATCAAATTCTGCAGTAAGACTTTTAAGTAGAGATTAAAAAGAGCATAACAACAGTCACATTAATAATGTAACATTAACACTAACAGCACTAATTTATGTTTATTATTATTAATTATTATTATCATTATTATTTTGGGTTTTGAGCCAGGGTTC